GTAATACCAAATGTTATTTCGTTGGAACATGCTATGAGCTTAATGTTGTACTATTAATGCACAAACATTCGAAAAATCCTGAAGATTTATTCTGCTTCAATGAAAAAGCGGAGCGATCAAACAAAGAACAAGTATGGCGCTTTAGGATCGCGTGGCAATTCGCAGAGTAGACCTCCACATTTTGAATCCTTCATTTTGCACACATCCTTCACTTTAGCCCCGCTCGCACAGCCGGTTTTGTCCCCCTTCTGGTACAAATCTGTCTTCTTAGGAGCTCTGAAAAGGAGTAATACAAATACGACGATTGGCGACACTCCTTTGTACGTGTACATTCCTCACTTTTTGTTGTAGACGCACGTAAAAACAGCCTCGCCTATACCACCAAAATCATCACGGCACTGCTCATAGTTGCAACCTAATTCGAAGATTTCTTGATGAGCCATCTGGAATTCAATTGTTATCGTACTAATCCAGAGGAGGGATACTTAGAAATGTGGGTAACATACATTGGCGAAGGTGTATAAACGGCTCGACTCATAGCGTGCATCTTTCATGAAATAGTACTGTGCCGGCAATGGTCCACTCCTGCATCGCGTCATGAATGACTGCATTCTTGCCTTCGTTCGTAATGTATTCTCCATCATAAGCACTGAAATAAAGCAGAACATTTGAAGAGTGAAGTGATACAGGTGAAGAAGTGTGACAACAAGGCCGTTTTGCTCACTAGTAAACATTCTGTCCATTATCCAGGGATTCGCTGACGGAATGAGAACAGTTTTTAGTCAACTTCAGCGCTTTTTCTTCGAGAGCACAGCTCCATCCCTAAAACCATCTAGAAAATAGAAAAAAGTGGAAGCTCTCATTGAAAATGTATTGGCTTTGATTTTGGTGTCAAGCCAGGTTTGGAAGTCTCGCATCAATATCTAGTTGATGCTGTAGATTTTTAAACTCTGAAACTTAGAAGCGTATCATGGCCAAGATTACTGTTCTGCTGTGAACCTCTCTTTGGTCAAAACCACCTATTGGTCGTAAGCATAACTTAATACATAAAAACTGTAGTGAACATAACATGCATTAGGTCTTTTAAAATTTTAGCCGTTCCCCGATCCCCAAACCTTAAAAGCATGCATTTTGGGTTGAATAAAACGTGCCTGATTCAAACAAAAACTGCTAAAGTCTACAAAACTCTCACAGTAGAATGTTTCACAAGAATGCTGGGTTGTGAACAAAACTTTCGCCCCAGGCGGGACTAGAACCCGCACCTCTCGCTTTCCGGGCAAGTGCGCTACCAGTTACGCTACCGGGGCACCATTTCATCCCAACTCAGCTTGGCTCAGCTACTGGGCTTCGAGGCGTTTCTCTACAAGGCTACTCTCGAGATCCCCGAAAAAGGTTATACTCAATAGGAAAGCGTATTAATGAATAAGGTAGTCGCTCACGGTTGATTGTACGATGTGTGTCCAGGACAGGTCAACCGTCCGTTCGAACTGTTCGAACGAAGGGGTCGCATTTTGGTCGGAAGGGGGTCGCAATTTCGAGGCGCGTGCGTGGCGTATCCGAGGGCAAGAATTGTTTGTGCAGACCGCATTAGATTCGATTTATTATGCACAGAGAGACAGTTTTAGGCAAATTACGGTGTTTTCTTGAGGAATAAAGAACAGTTGATGCATCCCTATGAAAGGTTTGACTTCTCGGGGCTGAAAACAAAGTTCTTTGGAGACCTATTTTTGGGGACGCTTCTTCCAACAACTGTGAAACACGTAAGGAAGCGGAAATCTCGTAGTCTTCAAAAATGTCTTCGCCCCTCCCCAACAAGCTCTTTGAAGGAAGTTATTCATTGCTGAAAGCTCAAAAACTCGCATGTGCTGCTCAAAAACCTATGGGAAAAAATGTTCGAACGTGTGATTTTCTCGAAAAATGAACTTTGAGAAACGGCTTGGTGCTTGTTAGAAAGAGCAAATCCTGTACTTTCTTCCATGAAAAAAGTGAATCACAGAATGAAAATGAAGTGAGTTATGGCCGCTGAAAGCCCAAAAACTCGGCTTTTGCAGCGAAATGCGAAAAAATGCTTTTTAATGGAAAACAGTTTTTTGAAAAAGGGGTAATCGTATAACTTTCAACACCAATGGTACAGGAAGATTGAAGTCGCAACATTTGTAACAGGCTTCCAGAACCCTGACGAATCCGCACCACACGAAAATGGCGCTTCAAGAACTGAAGTGCGCCTTCATTAGAAAATATATTAGGTCATCTCATTCAAACATGTCCAGACATCTAGAGAAATGGTGGGAAAAGTAAAAGAGCTAGAGCATTCTGCTTGCTTTTGTTTTGAAGCTAGCACACCTAGCTACGGTATACCCCAATTAAGTTTGTAGTGCCGCAGAAGGATACACTTAAAAACATAAGAAAACTCATAGTGACCAAAATCGAGGCGGAATTTTCAAATGATTGGTGACATACGTAAAAATTTGCAACTCGAATTCTCTGTGTGCTGGCTCAGCTCACGCGTGATACAGTGTTCTCGAAGTGCCACGTTGAAGATATGGTGTGAGAGCTCAAAGAAGGAAGAACGGATGCGAGTTGTGGTTGAGGACGCGCTCACATTGCCCGCCTTGCCAAAGAAGAGCGGAAGGTATTGAAAAGAAGGTGTCCAAATAGCCGCAATCACAGATGTTGAACCTTTGCGATGTTTGCCCACGAGACTTGCAGTCTAGCTGCACCTGTTACGCAAATTGTGCCCAAAAATTGGGGATGGTCCACAGAACATGTTTTTGGATATACCATTTACTCCCAGATGCAGGAGTCCAGAATCGATGGTATGTAGCCTGATCTTCCGCCAATACACGCCATTACAAGACTATCAAACTGGACCCTGCTTACAAACAAATTTGTGTGGTATTGCACCCTGAGGCCTGAGTCAGAAGCGTCAACTTTGGATGAACGCTAATGAGGAACTACCCTAATCGGATCATGAGAAGTCACGTGGGTTCACGTGGATGATTATTATGGCGATGGATTTCTGAGGTGTGCCTCTTAAATGGCTCTGTCGGGAAAAAACCTCCGGCGTTTCTCAAGTTTATGGCTTGTTTCTTAGCGAACAAATTGACAAAGGAATAGCAGTATAAAACTACAATAACGATATCATCACCTATGTCGATACCAGACCCTACATAGCTCATATTGCTCACGGGTATTTCGATCAAACGATATTGTGACCTCTACTTATCTGCCGTATTTTCCCAACTGCAGGGCCCCGCTGCGAACCTCCAGCTGTTTTAAGCGACACTACGCCCCTACTCGTGGGTTGAGCGCTACGACCCACCACATTCGTTGACAATCAATAACGAATCAAAAGCACTTGCTATACCCACTGTTGAAAAGAAGAAAGCTGCGCGTAAGCAGTGCTCTAGACGCTGATCGGGTCATTACAACACAAGACCTTCTTGACCTCCACACCCGAAGTATACCCTTTACCTTCCTCTGTCATTATGCGAAAAAAACGTGGCACATTTGAATCGAGATAACCTCAGGAATATTCTCGATCGTATCGACTTCCAAATTTATGTGGAGGTTTAGCGCTCATTGTTAATAAGTATTGTGTGCCACTCCTATACTGACAATAACACGGTGAGGATGTAGATATAGTAGCTCGAATGCGGCTGGCTTGCAAGTTGTGGAACGGGTTAGAGTAGGAGAGCAATTACGGTTTGACCTTAAGCATTTCACCATGCTGTTGCTTCAGCGCTTCTACATCTCTAACTGGTTCGGCATTAATTGGAAGTTCAGCCCTTCCATAGGTCTGGAGAAATCCAGTCAACACACAATTCATGCGCGATAGACAAACCACCTAGATGGTTTACTTTCAGGAATGATCATTCAACGTTATTTTTTATAGCATTCAGGGAGTAGCCAAGAATCTTTAAACTAACCATTTTGTACAGATTTTTCGCAGGTGGAAGAGATTTTCCTTCATAGCCAGGCGATGTTCCTTGAGCAAGTGCATAGCGGAGTCCGTTGTGAAAATGCAGAATTTTGTGCGAACGTCATCATCCATAAAGCTACCATGATTTTGGCAGTACTCTGTAATACGAAGACGAATTCGCTCTCATGACTGTAGACAAGGGTAAGTTGGGAAGCTTGTTCCCAAATAACACCAAGGAGAGCGAGGCATAGTTAGAGCATAAAGAAAGCGTCTAGTTCTGCAGCAAACACGTTAACATCCACGGCACCATATGTGAATACCAGTGCGATTAGGCTGAATCAGATGTACTGTCTAAATTCAACACCGATACTAAAATTTTTCCTATTAACATGATTTGCTCACTTCAGTAGTTTCCACAGATTTGTTCTCAAGTGAAAGGGACTGAGTATATGTGCGCCCACCTCATATTTACAGTATGTTAGACATAGTGACATACTACTAGATTTCATGGCTGCAGCGGAGGTGCACTCGCCAAGCAGATACTGACTGACTTTTTCGTGCATCTTTGTCAAAACTGCCTAGAGCAAAGAAAAAACTCACGTGTTGCTCCAATGCAGAGACCGCAAAGGTTCAACAAAAAGACGGAGAGCTGGAAAATCCGTTGTTAGCTATGTTTTCGAAATGTTTCAATTCCTACTTACCGTAAGCATATCCGACGTATTAGAAGTGACCAGAGAGGTACCGAAGTGTCTTTTCATATTCATCAGGGCTTTTATCCTCATTGCTAGATGACGAGATTTCTTTTTGCATCTGGCTGAGCAATGAATACGTGTCATTATACGCATACGGTCACCGCCCCCCGACCCCGACGAGCACCCCGTGCTACAAGCTTCAAAATCTCGAAGTTGAAAACCGTTCACCCTGGTGCTTCTCTTCCGCGCCAGAAATTCTTGTTATGCTATAAAGCATTTTTACTAACTTGAATGCTACGATGGGATGACATTAGATAACAAGTTGCACCATGCACTCAATGTTCCACCTTGAGTACCCATCATCTGCCAAATTCTTGTTAACAAGGTATAATAAATTTGAGCGATGTGCCTTCTCCTCCGGGGATTACTACTTCTATTTTTTGCTCAAATTCTATGAACACTGGTTACAACTGTAGCGCATTCTATTGCCTTTTCACCTTTACCATATAATTGCATTCATATCACTTGTAAGGCAAGCCCTTCTAAAGGAGATAAATATGACGACATGTATACATACGTACGTATTTATGCGACACACCCATGTGATGTCTATGATATAGACTGCCCTACCTGTTTATGGGCGACGGGATGTCCACGATGCGAGCATGCACGTAAACGATGCCATCAGTCATCACCCGTAGGTAATCTTAGCAATAAAGCAATTGCGTTACATCCTGCTCACTATGAAGAGCTTCATCTGTGGCCTGTCGTCTGTCGTTCTGTATGTCTGTCACGAAATTCCCTAGCTCCTGGGATCCTGGAGGGACCGGGTCAAGTGTGGGATGGGTGGCAAGGTCTCGAGAAGTACAAAACACACATCAGCTAAGCGGAGCCCCGCCCACAGTGGGCGTGGCGTGCATCGAAATGAGTGGTACTGACGACCAGGATTTCAGATACTATACCAAAACTGGGGAAAAAAGTGGGTAAAGGTGTGCATTGGTAAGTCAGATCGAATTAGGGAGACCCACCCCGGTGGGCGGGGCGTTCTCCAAAAAAGCAGTGCTTTATGAAAAATTTCATAACTCGGTTGGGAGAAAGCCTACAGAGCAGAACAAATTGGTGTAGGGAG